CATAGAAAGTAACTTGCATGTCGTCTATTTGAGAAAACGAAGTATTTGGCTTTGAAATCGTCCTTAGTATAGTTGGATTTGTAAGCGTGGCCCATGAGGTCTTCCATGGTATGTCCAACCTGATACCGAATAGCTAGAGTTTCTTATTGTTTTTATTCCTACTACGATATATGTTAGAGGTAAGGAACTCACATCTGTCAGTTTCACCCTGTGTCTCCTTGATGCAATTCCCATTTTGGAGAGCAGCGTATGCGGAGGGCCTTTGTCCTGAACAAGTCAAACATCATAAATTTTCAACAAGATGCAAAAAGTTGCATAAACCAATCAAAAAATGGTTACAGCTGCAAAGGCAAATTATGAGATAAACGAAAAATCTTGACACGAATGGTGAGCGACAAAAGTGTTCGACAAAAGTGTTCTCGCCCACACCGTACTTTCTCGCTAATGTGACCGATCAGCGTCGCTGCCTATGTGTACGGTAGTCGCCCTGCTCGAAACGAGTATGACCAATTTCGGGCTGCATCCAGAGTTGCCCCTGCCAGCGTCCTACAGCTCGCGCTAGCCTCATTCCACGTCGATCTTTAGTATGCGTGCACATGTTTTCGACACGGCGCTGGCACGGGACTGGCACGCAATGGCACAGGGAGAAATCTATACGCTATCTTATGGTTAGAGATGAATTTTTTGGTCTCTAAGTTTTTGTAGACTGCTGTTTCGGCAATAGCTTAGTAAAGCCTTAGCCTTCCAATCAGCCATCACATAATGAAATCAGTGCGCAGATTTGCTTCGATTGTTTTTGAGTTCAGGAAAATGATTAAAAAGTCAAGTAACTACCGTATTGTACAGATGCTCCAGTCGACCGTAAGTTAGAAATCGATGCATTGACACTCCATTTTCAAGCAGAAGTTGTACGAAATCCGTGCGATCATGACATAAAGCTTCCATCATTGCGTTGTGCAGGTCTTGCGTACCCCATTCCTATAGAGTTGAAACTGAAGCATATTAGTGGAGTGAGCAAAATACGTACTGTTCCCAAAGTGAAGATCTCGGATCGCGCGATATCGGCTCGATTCCATGCCAGAGCCAGTTGCAGCTGTTCAGGACTGCTCAGATTTTGCCCTTTCAGCAATGCAGTCAAAATCGCATGATCGACGTCTTGCCGTTGCTCTCCGAGTCGAAACACTGTCATCTACAGTACGAAGATCTAGTTCAAAATAGCATTACTATAAGTCAGGCATACCAGATTTCGTTCACGTGCACACTCAACTAGATGGCGCACGGTACGCTCGGAATTTTTCTCATCATAATTAAACACCATCTCCACCAAAGACATAAGTTGGGTGTGGACAGAATCTGATAGCTTTCTGTAATGAAACTGTTTTTCAAACATAAGATAATTCTGTTGAGAACTTTTGTCGATACCTGCTTATAAAAAGGCTTTTTCAAGTACTTTTTTTATTACATATACAGGTTTTATAAGAACTGGACTATTTATTCCAGGTACAGGATTTGTAAAAATTGGCCCATTGCTTACTCAAAATCTTTCTATGAGAAGCTGTTTATAAATTCAATAGAACCGCAACGTCAGTCATGTTTGTGCTAAAAATTTGTAGGTTCAAAATTTTCTCAAAAATCATATCTCGATAAGCTTTTTATAACACAAATCCAGCACAATCATTACAGATGCTTGCAAAGAAATTTTTGGCCTTCATTGATATAGGCGGTGCTCGTGAAAGTGGTTTCTCCCTTCAAAATCGGCTGTTCAAAAAGAGGTACAGAAAACGGGTAGAATTTTTGAAACAATCCCATAACCCAAAGGTGAGAAAGTGTACCAAATTGGGAACTAAACCACATACCCATCGTCACCTATAGCGTGATGAGTGAAAGCTAACAGATCAGCAGCACGTCCACTTCCATCACAAACGACTACTGGAATTCTTGGAATGCTGCAAGAGGAGGATACGGTAGGTACGGTAGGGTACATCAAAAACCATTAATTCTTTGACTTGCCTTGTGATGTAATCATGCACAATTTTGATTGTAAATGCACCTCCCTCCAGCACCACACAAACAACAGGAATAGAGCAGGTACTATTCTGCGCAAGATATGTTTCGAGACGCTTTCTGAGTATTATTTCGGAGCCGTATCTAAACTCGCAACTTAGCGCATACTTTCAGAGAACCTATCTACCGGCCAACAGTTCCATTGTCAGCAAATATGAAGTACGAATGACGATCGTTCAGCTCCGCAAGTCGTGATTTGTTGAACTGATTCGGAGCGTAATGAACAGTGAGATCCTAAAATAAAGAAATTTTTTGAAGAATTTCGTGAATATATTTGTGCGCAGACCGCTCCAACGAAGCGATTTCTTCGTTTTAGCATGCCCCATGGCGCTACGCCAATGGCTGTCACTCGAGTACGGAGGCGAGATGATGAGCCGAGATCTGCAAAAT